TATAATGACTTAGTTTGATTAAAACCTCTGGAACCTATTTGCATATCATGATAGTCAAGGAGCAATAGGTAGGGCAAAGAACATCATGTACAATGAAAAATCTCGTCACATACGACGAAGACATAATCCTGTAATAGGACCACTCTCTAGTGGAATTATTACGATTAACTATATAAAGTATAGGGATAATGTGTTAGATCTAGTGCTGAGAGACATTTAAAAGATCATCTAAAGGAATGAGTTTAAGGTTTCGGACAAGTCATCGTGGTGGTAACTCTACCTAGCAAACTTGGGATCCCAACAGTTAAGGAAATCAAACAAAGTTGTGAATGATTGTTCGACATTGTCAAACAACTCAATTAATTCTCATGATGAAGACAATGTTTGGGACCAATGATAAAACATTAACACTTGTTAATGAGTTAGTAAAACTTGAAAATTTCTAATTATTTGCTAAATTTGAAAGATTTGACCAAATAATGTATATATGTGATGACACAGTTAATCACCTATATATGTGTGAAGTGTACACCGCTTAAAAGAGAATCATTGTGAAAAACATATTTTTTATACACTCACAAATTTATGAGGCGTTAATAACTGAAATGAACACAATCTTAAGAATCATAAACGGTTGATTGTGTTAAATATGATTGTCTAGATATTAATCAAATCTCAATGGTTCAAATATATCAAATCTATTAATTGACCGAATATATTCGAAACATGTTCGTTATGAAAAGTTAAAACATTTATCTACTTATCCAAATGCAATTATTCATTGCTTTTAAAGTACACATTTGCAGGTGCATTCCTTTACATTATTGGGTATATAGTAAGAATTAGTGAAAAATAGAGGAAAGATGAAAGGAGGAAATATAAAGTATCCTCTTGTTCTTTAGTCAAAAACAATTCTCTCCCTCATTGGTGGTGAAAAAAAAAATCACTTGTTTAAATAAGGAAAACTTCTGCTAGTTGTTAAATAAGTTGGAACGAGGGACCCCCTCACACCATCATCGTTGTTTGTTCGCTCGAATACGACTTTGTCTTTAGAAAATGATCAAGAAATTAATTTTTGGACAAAGTTTTTTATTAGTTAATTAATTATTTATTTCATTATTAATTAATTAATTAATTAGTGGCCAACCCGAAATGACCCAATCCAAAGATAACTCGCACGACCCTTTGTGTAAACGTCTACCATTTTATTTAAATTTTCCACTATTTATAAATGACTGTTCTGAAACGCTGATAAATAAAATTGTTTTATCTTGAAATCTGAAATGATCTATTTCTGTAAACCTTGAGTATTAAGGGAAAATAATTTTCTTAAAAACACACTGTACATTCACTTAGCTCGATTATTTTTCCTTTTTATTTCGTCCAATGTTATAGAACCTTCTATGTTTTAATTAAGTCATTAACTTCTACTTATGTTATTAATTTCTAATTTTTTTACTTTATTATTTTTATTTCTACAAAGTTATTGTTATAAGTATTTTTTTTAGCACATATTAACTAACATTTAGAAATATGAATAACTTTTAAAAAAAACGTACATATACACTTCTTCAAATTATAGAAAATTAATGTTAAAAAAGTGCAGCATATTTGGATCTAACTAGAGTTCACGTTGGTGGAGGAACTAGATCGAACTTCAGGTTATATTGAAGTCAGTAGCGGAGCCACCATATACTACAGGTTATATTGAAGTCAGTAGCGGAGCCACCATATACTATTTTTTACATGATTAAAATAATATTTAGATATATTTTTATGTTTGAACCCCCTTATTAAAATTTCTCGGTGCGCTAGTGATTAAAGTCCCCAACTCTTTGCCACCTTGGATATATGTGGCGACACGATCTTGTAACCGTAATTTTATTAAATATGTATGACGTCATCAATTTTTTCCATTTACTAATCTTGTCCAATTATCCTAAAATAGCCTTGATATATATATATATAGTGTTTTCATAATGAACCTAGACCTATATATAACGTGGAGTTCACAAACATTTCACTTCCTCACACAAGGTTCTTAATATTTTTTATTATATATATTGTGACGCAAAACTAATTTATCACAATCCAATTATATCAATGGCATTCAAGAAAACACTACAACAACGTATTTTTAGTGGATACAAATTTTGTGCTCCATCTCTAACATTAACATGTCGTATTACTTCTTCAACCATATCGGAAGCAAAATCCACCGATAAAAATATAGATCCATGTCGATTTCTTTACCAATCATCGGTATACTCACCGGAGATCCGCCAGAGATTACATGGGATGGACATTAGTTCGAGAGATAAGATGAGGTTTATTAATGAGGTACTTTTGCTTCCGCGGCCCCCACTCCAATCGGAGTCATTGGATGTGGGGTCCATGACTGGTGTGCAACTTGAATTGTTGAAAACGAGGCTAAGAAAAATGGAGAAGAATTGGATTCTGTTCGCTGAATTTATTAAAATTTGTAAGGAAACATGTAATTTGGATGATGATAAAAGTCTTAAATTTGCTAAGAAGATGGATGAATCGGGAGATGTAATTGTTATGGGAAACTTTGTTTTTCTAAGACCTTATCAGGTTGGTTTAATTTATCTTATTATCTTTAGAATCTTTAATTATTTTTTTTTTATAAAAGAAATTTCATAAATGTTATAATTTACTATACTTTGACAATTTATGGTCAAAGGAACTATCCTTTGACTGATGAGTTGGGCCGTTTTCCGATACCCGAAATTCCTAATTAACTTTTTAATCCTAATTTTTGTGTATATACAGTAAAACATTTATTATATATTAATTTGAGCTAACTAGTATCAAATTTTAAATTTTAAATTCGTATCTACGTACAGGTGGTTGAAGCCATGCAAGAAGTAATGCGAATGCACAAACCAAATCACGAGAAAGAAAGAATGAAGGAGCTTGAAAGAATGGAGGAGGAAAAAACATCAATTGACAAGAAAGTAGTATCATTAGTACGTAAAGAAATGTGGTTTGGACTTGGGTGCTTTATAATTCAGACAATAGCTTTCATGAGGTTCACTTTTTGGGACCTAACATGGGATGTTATGGAACCAATTTGTTTCTATCTCACATCAACATATTTCATCACCACATGCATTTTCTTCCTTAAGACCTCTAAAGAGCCTTCTTTTCAAGGGTTCTTCCAGGCACGTTTCAGTACGAAGCAAAATCGACTTATGAAAGTTCGTAATTTTGATCTTCAGAGGTATAATGAGCTCCAGAGAGCTCACTATCCGCCAAAAAAATAGATGGAAGGAAGATTGTTCATTTTATTTTTTCCTTCTACGAAATATCTGATTTAAAACAATTTGAGTATGTATCCTAGAGAACATTTTGGATTTCTTATTGAGTTTTCTTTGTCTATACATTTCTTATGAGGGCTTATGCTTCCTATGTCACTCATTGTCCTCTCACCCAATCACCCGTTTTGTGCTCTCTATGAACCTTCAACAGCTTTTTAACATGCATTACTATTATTATTCAATATAAACACTAACCACGTCATCACATTAATTAATTATATAATAGTGACTTATTATTATGACTTTATTGAGGAATTACAATTTTTATGAAGGTTGTGACCTTATCGAAAGATTGTGACTTTTTCAAAGAGTTGTAATATTTCCGGTAAGGTAAAATAAGGACCTTCTTAAACTATCATTTGTTGTCCAAAAATAGAGGGATTTTCTCTCATTTTAAGAGAAACAATTTTCTGGACTTCTTCTACTACTCCTAAATCTAGTATTCTAAGTGCACTTTACTATAATGGAGTGGTTCATTACACCGTGGTTATCAGTACGATACACTGGCGAGTAAGATCATTCTATCTCGGGAGAATATATATTCCATTAACCTCGGATACTTGAGGGGAATAATTTCGCATTAAGGGAACATTGTGCATTCAGTGGGCTCAATTTTCTTCTTTAAGAAAAATATTTGGTATATTGTTTCTGATCTTTTTCTAGTTCTGTTTTCTCTACTGATTTTAGTTTTAATACTATTTAAACATTTTTTTATCAAGTTCTTCAAAGTTTTTGGTCTTAGTATCATAGAAATATAGGATGAACCTGAAGAAAATTATTATACAGTTGGTACTTCTTGTATTCTACTGATTGAGGAAAACAAGTAATGGAAGTAGAAGATTAATAATGCACTACTTCTCCAGAATTTGGTGCATTGTTTACAAGGTTGAAGTGAGAATGTACCAGAAGAATTGATGATGTTTCAGTTAAAGATTACACTAGGCAACCTTCTTATTATTTATCTAAGGAGGAAAATAGTTTCTAAAAGTTATATTTAGAGTCCGAGCCTAAAGAGTATAAAATATTACCAAAAATTCCAAAATGGTATATAAAATTTTATACTAAGCAAAATGGCAAAATCGCTGGAACAACAGTGATTTACTCCACCGGAAAAAACAAAATCGCTGCTACTGCTGCGATTTTGCACAATGTGATTTTTTTAAAAAAATTCAAATCGCTACCATAGCAGCGATTTTCATTTTTTAATAAAAAAAACATATTTTGTTTGAAAAACGCTTCCAAAGGCAGCGACTTACACAATTTAAAAAAAATTGTTTGAAAATCGCTGCGATTTTTAATTTTTAAAAAGTATTTTTTAAAAAAAAAAATGTAAGTCGCTGCCAAAGGCAGAGATTTTCAAACAAAAAAAGAGATTTTTTTTGAAAAATAATGTAAGCGCTGCCTTTGGCAGTGTTTTTTATATAATTTTTTTTAAAAAAAATAAAAATCGCAAAATCGCTGTCTAGGCAGCGATTTTCAAAAAAAAAAAATTAAAAATCGCTGCCATGGTAGCGATTTGAATATTCTTTTTTAAAAAAATCACATTTTGCAAACTGTGGAGTAAATCGCTGTTGTTCAAGCGATTTTACCATTTTGGTTAATATTAAATTTTACATACCGTTTTGAAATTTTTGTTAATATTTTATACCCTTTAGGCTCCGAATTGGTTAACCATATGTTTTTGGATGAATTTTCCTTGGAAAATAGTGTTGCCTTTAAAATTCTTTAGTTTGCAGAATGAGATGTGCATATTTTATAGATAAGATAATATATCAAAATGTTAATATTGAAAGTCTATTTGAAAAGAAAAGCATATCTATGTGATAATATAAGGATATGTTTTATTCTATTTAGAGACTTAAAAAAACTTTTTCAGTTTTATACTCCGTGTGAAATTTGATTGTGACTGATTCTTGTTGACTAAAAACTTTTGTAGTTTCATACTATGGATAAAGTAGATTATGCAATCGATATGAAGAATATGAAACTTGACCTAATAAATCAGTGTTATACTTATGATTTTCAATTAACTTCGTTGTTAAATAGAAACAAATTTTACAATTTTTTGTGTGTCTATTATTTTAAATATTAAGTGGGTACGTCTAATTGTGAAAGAAAAAAGTCCACAGACTTAAAGTTTGTAATTTTTTACCTGCAATAGGTGTCTCTAAGAATGAACTTTGACATTGTATAAAGATTATCAAAGGAAATTGAAGTACTACCATTCTTTTATAGAATAATATTTCTAAAAGAGGTTTCATTTTATCAATGACATTTTGATAATATGAAAAAAAAAATATATGAACAAACTATTTTGAAATACTCAAAAAATATTTTTTTGTGGTGGAAAAAAATTTCTCATACTCAAAAAAAAATTTATTTTAATAAACATATTTTTTCTCAAAAGTTCATGTACTTATAAACACATATAAGAAATTGGTAAAATATTGAATGCTTATTTCGAGACTCCTAAATACTAAAACATATAGGTATGGTTAACTAGATCAGTACGGATGGTCCCAGAAAAATTAAATAAAAACGATAATTGGTTAGTCACATTCCCAAATATACATGGATTAAATATACATATTTAAAAAATTGAGAAATATTAAATTTATATCAACATCGTAAATGCTATAAAAAGTCATGTGAAAAGATATTTATATGGTTAACGAAATCATTATAGGTGGTCCTAAAAATGTTTGGGCCAAACAAATTCTGCAGTCATAATCACAAATCTTTTAGGAAAAATTACTTAACTACACAATCTTTCTTTTCATAATTTTTAAAATTTCCTACCTTTTAAAAATATTTCAAAAATCCTTTTTTTCCTTTTTTTTTCTCATTTTTCAGATACATTATTTATCATCCCTTCAATTCAACGATTTTTTCCCTATTTTTACGCCTAAAATCACTCCCATATATCAACAGCTACATCAATCACTCAATTTTTTAATTTCAAATGTATTCTCTCTCAAGTTCATTAATTTCAAGTTCCTAAAGAGATAGAACTATTTTTTCATTAATTTTTTATTTTCAATTCTTCAGATTTCTTTTTTTTTAATTAAAAAAATTATTGTTTTTATTTACAATTTTCTTATACATATGAATTTTGCTCCCTCTTTTTAGTATGGTACCTTGTGTATTTGATTTTGATGATGAAAAATTTCATGAAAATAGATCTAATTAATTCCTTACAATTCTGATGATGATGATTGAGTTGAAAATAGATCCAAGAGGTTGTAGGATCCATTAACAATGGCGAATCATAATATTTAAAAGACGAAATCAAAGAAAAATGAAACTTCGTCTTTTAAAACAAATGTGGAAGAACTTCATCCCTGGTGAGTTATTTTTTAAGAAATTAGATACGTTTAAAACAATGATACATTATCATATTATATTGTACCTTGCTTTAAGTCTTACGAAATTATATATAAAATCGTAATTTTGATTCTTTTTGTTTTTTGATATATTGTCACTAATCTATCAAACTATATAATAGAAATTATTTTGATAAGATATTGCAGAATAGTGTATCATATTATAAAATAACTTCACCACTATACCTAAATAACATATAATGAATATATAATGTTTCATTTAGTATCAGAAACAAATATTATCAAGTGGTATTGAGTATGAGTTACTATTATTATCATTACGTATCAACTAAACAATAAGATTTTTCGTAGTTATTATATCATGTAATTGACTTTTTTGTTCAAATTTAATTTATTGTTATAATGTATGCCTTTTGTTGAATTCTTTAGCGATTGAGTCATCTATCTAATGATTTCTGAGCTGACTACCTCCACACGAGATATGCAACACTATTATGGAAGTACGATCTGAACAAGGTCAAGGTGGGATATGTTAGCGATTAGCGATGACCCACTAAAGCTGAAGCGCTATTTCACTTCACAACAATAAGATGACTTGGATCATATATATTAGTGATTATGTACCAATTCATACACAACTTTTGATGTTTATTTTTTGTAAGACATATTAATTAATATTTTGGAGGGTTTATTATCTTTCAAGAAACATTTTCTCATGTTTTACAGTTTTTTGAAACAAAATTGTTTATTTTGAATATGACATTTGTTAATGTTAGTACCTTGTTATGTTTTGTCTATTATAAATATTTTATGCATCATATATTATCTGATATAAAATGTCAAAAATTCTGTATATGATACACGATTATCAGTATTTTATATATCATATATTTTATACTTTATATTAATTGTAATATAGAGTATATTACAATTAATATATAATTAATACTATATTATTAGCAGATACAAGATTTTTCAAAACTATATTATGGATATGATACACAATTATTTTTTATAAAATAAAATTTGTATGTATCACAACACCTGTAGCTATATTTTTATACTTGATACAAATCAGTTAAGTTTCAATATATTTAGTACCTGTTAACATTATGTCTCTTATAAATTTGGTACAAATGACTATAGTTGATACTATATTATAAGTTGACACAAATTTGTCAAATAATATATTTTTTATATGATACATAATTATTATGTTTCATGCTTTCAATAGCACCAAATTGATGTGTATAAGTTGATACAAATTTGTCAAAAATGTATATATAAGTATATGATACACAATTATTATTTATTATACTTTCAACATCACAAATTGATGTGTCTCACAAAATTAAACCTGATGTTATATATATACAATTGTTCCAATCCTCTAAAGTTATAATATATTATCTTTTTACACTATGTCTCTTATCCTATACATTTTACAACTCTTATCCGGTACATTTACAACACTTGATACTATATTATCTGACACAAAAAAATTAAAAGAATTAAATATCAAATTCATTATGTTAAAATCAATACAATGTAATACTTATAAACAGTTACATATACATTAATTACTTAACTAATAAGACGTAT